TCCCATATCTCACGTACTCTTCTAGCTTCCTTCTCTGAGCACATGCGAGAAGGTAGGAGGTCACAGAGGGCAGGAGACTTGCAGAGCTGACACTGTGCCTGGTCTCTGTCTTCACACCAGTGGAGCCAGCAAGGGAAAGTCACCTCCATTTGTGGCCCCTGTAGAACCTCTTTGAGACACCTGGACTTTGGCTTCACTCTGCCTCTCCCCAAAGCTGGCTTCACAGTTGAATCAGAAAAAGAAAATATGAAAGAGAACTTGCAGCTCTGATGGATAACTTGGTCTTTTATTCATGAATTAAGAGTGACAGTGAACTTCCATGGCAGATAGATAACAGCAGCTACAGAGGCTCTCTGATATAGCCAGCTTAGATTCCAGGAATGGTGTGGTGTGGGGAAGTCCTAAGCAGAGGGAGATATACCCTGCTGACCCAGGAACGAACAAAGCTGAGAGAAACCAACTGGAAATGCAATCCCGGTGCTACTACTGGAACAGCTAAAGTCTCAGTGCTGAAGCTAGAACCCACGCCTCTGGAAACCGCAGCTTGAACTTCCTGCCGCAGTTGCTGCATCTGAATCGGCACAGCAGAGACAGAGATGTGAGAGCTCTGAGAGTGGGAATCAGTGAACCAAATTGAGAGCAGAGCTGGCAGGGAGCCTTGCATCAACCTGCAGTGAGTGAGAGGAACAGGAACCTTCCATAGACTAGGAGGCTACAACAGAGGACATTTTGGGACCAGGACGCTGCAGTGACTTCAATCACATACTCTTCTCTCAAGCGGGATTGGTGGGGAGCACTTGACCTAGGTGACGCCGTGGACTAAGACCCAGTAGGCTGGCCCAAACCAGGTACCTGCACCTGGCAGTACACCCTAACATAGTGAAGCCTTCAGCAGGTTGACTGACCTGGAAGGGCAGGCCCAGCATAGGCTTCCCAGGTCTGTGTCTCCCTAGTACACTGCAGTGGGTGGGAACACCTAGCCAGTGCAATTCAAACAAACTGTAACCAACAAAGAAAGAAACTGGGCCTCCTTTATATGCTTGTATGGAAGGATCAAAAAGTATGAGAAGAGGGAGCAACAAGAAAGGGTCCTCAGTCCCCAATCCTGAGAACACTGATCCAGGAAAGGTAAATGCAAAGGAGAATGAGGACAGAAAACATGCAATATCAGGCATGGCACCAATAGACATAAAGCGATATCTCTGGGACCTCATCGATGAGTTCAAAAGTGAAGTATTTAACCAAGTAAAGCAAGATATAAGTAGAATATTTAAAGAAATGCTAAGCACCTCCCAAGAAAAAACAGATGGTGGAATGGAAGAACAGGAAAAAAGGGGAGAATTGTTTGATGGAAAAAATAGAGAAAATGTAGAATACATGAAGCAGGTTCAAAGAGATTACCAGGAAATTAAAAAACTCTATTGAAAACTGGCATAACAGATTGAAAGAAACTAAAGATAGGGGCTGGGGATTTAGCTCAGCAGCATAAGTGCCTGCCTTGCAAGCAGGCGGTCATAAGTTTGATCCCCAGTACCGGTAAAAAAAAAAAGAAAAAGAAAAGAAAAGAAACTAAGGATAGATTATCTGAACTGGAGGACAGATTTGTAATGTGGGAGCATGAAATGAAAAACTTCTGAAAAACAACAAAGAAACAAGCAGTAACAATACAAAGGCTAGAAGATGATAAGAGGATCTATAACTTAAGAATTAAGAATGTAAAGGAAGAAGCAGGGATACAAACAAATGAACTGCAAAGGCTATTCACAGAAATAATCAAGGAAAACTTCCCTAATATGGGAAAAAGTAAAGATACTCAGATCTATGAGGCGTACAGGACTCCAGCCATCTACAACCCAAACAGAACTACACCCAAGCATATAATAATCAAAATTCCAGAAGTCCAATATAAGAACAGAATATTAAAAGCTGTCAGAGACAAGAAACAGATCACTTACTAGGGAACACCCATCAGGATTACAGCAGACTTCTCAGCACAAACTATCAAATCACGAAGAGCGTGGGGCAAAATAATTCAAGCTTTGAAAGACAATAATCTCCAGCCAAGATTGATATATCCTGCACAACTGTCCCTAGAAATTAATGGAGAAACAAGGTGCTTCCAGGATAAAGAGGAACTAGGGGAATTTGCAACCACCAATTCAGCTCTGCAGAGAATACTGCAGGACATTCTAAAAGAGAAAAATATCAAGATTCCAGAAATAGTGGCAGAGAGGCCACAATGAATGAGCAGAAAGCAAAATGAAGAAGACAAACTGACAACTAATGACAGAAAAAGAGCTCAACAGAAATGAGGCAGAGAAGGTTGGATGGTAGGAACAGCTATTTTGGAGAAAACACGACATCATAATAGTTAGTGCTGATTTAATATCATCTTGTTTTGAAGTCTGATCAAGCTTTTGTTCTTCTGTCTCCATTGGTCTTAACATGTTGTATCTTACTGGATTTTATTATATGTGATAATATAAGCAAAAACTTTTTATACACAAGAAGGTTATACAGAAACCACTGTTCATTTTCTGTTAGTTAGTTCTAAATACCCTGTAATACTGTCATTCTCTTGAATGGTTTTACATTGTCTTGATATGTTTGATGCTATAGTATACGAAGTCATACTCAAAGATTTCAAGGAAAGAGACACTATGGTAACTTCTTTTATATCAGGATATCTTGTGGTGAAACACTATTTTGCTTAAATAGTTATGTTCTGACCTGTGCTGTTTTGTTATGTCCTCTTTTATCTCAATCTCTTTTTTTATTATTTACTTTTATCTACTTAATTAAGGAAAAAATAAATTAAAATAGCAGGATATATTATAGTAACCCACTTTTGATTTCTATTAACTTAATTTGAAACTCTGTATTGCTCTCACCATCGTTTTGACTGATTTTCCTTTATTCTGTTTTGCTTGATAGTACCAAGTTTGAGAGTAGAGGCAACAACTATGAAGACAATAAGATTCATTATGATGCCCATTCTGATTTGACTATTATTTTCTTTTTTTGTCTTCTTCATTTTTTATCGATACCAGGGATCAAACTCATGACTGCCTGCTTGCAAGGCAGGCACTTATGCTGCTGAGCTAAATCCTCAGCCCCAACTATTACTTTCTTTTGAAGTCCTATAATGTCTCCATTGTTTTAGTTTTATTGGTTTTGTTCTTTACTGTTTTGTTCAATTTTATTATAACTGATGATATAGGCAATTCTTTTTAAGATAGCAAGAGGCATTATGGTAACCATTGTTGATCATTTTGTATTCTGTTTTTACATTATGTACTATGTCTATCCTTTTGATTTGACTGACTCTGTTTTGTTATATCACATTTGGTTTTATTCTCTTCAAAAAAAAGTAATAAGAACCATGGGAGTAATAAAACCCAAAATGTGTAATTGTCATTGTAAAAAAGAGAGGAAAAGAAAGTGCTCTAAAGGATATAACTGCTTGTATATTTAAGCATATAAGATAGATAACCATATTACTGAGTTTTTGTTGAATCATTGAACAGAACTGTTTGCAGTCTCACTGTTTGAATGTCCACTTTATATGCTTTAATTTTGTAACTTGAACAACTATTTCTAAGATGACAATATGTAATCTATTAACCAGTGATTTCCTACTGTTTATTGTTTTTGAAATTTTGTATAACTTGTACCCTTTTTCTGTTTTTTTTTCTTTTTCTCCTTCAATAAAATTAAAAAAAAAAAAAAAGAAAAAGGAGAGGCTGGGAGGCAGGAGGATGAGACACTAATTGCCAGGCTAAGAAGGAGCTGGTGTCAAAAGTGGCTGACACGGATGACAGGGCTTGGTGGGACAACTGGAGTCCCTTCCTAGACACGGTCAGGCCAGACCTTAGATTTGGACAGTTTTTAAGAAGGCTTTGGTTTTGCCAACTAGGCACAAGCAAGTTATGTGTTGCAAAGTGTGTTTTCACAAGCTAAAAGTGACAGTCACACAGCAGTGACAATCAGTTTGCAGGAAAACACTGGTGGTGATCTCACTAAGGGTGTGATTGCTCCCTTATCACCCACTTTCAGCCACTTGGGGCATCTTCAGCACTCCCCTTCCCTCTCCCTCACCCAGTCTTTTATTCTGTGCCTCCATCCTGTAAAATATGCCCCCTTCCTATACCTGTACTCAACCCCAGGCTGTGACAATCTGCCCTCCCCTCATTCTGATAAGCCAGCCTGCATTTTGAACAGCCTCTTGGAGTCTGAGAATTCTACAATGACTAAACTGCAAGTAGCTTAAAAATAAAGTACAAATTTTGGGCTCCCCATTCCCTTTCTTTTCCTTTTCCTATAACTCCCTAAAGAGGCAGTGGGGACCTCAAGAGCCCCCCAGGCCGAGAACCCACAGTGCTGTGTCCTTGCACTCTGCCTGTGTGATTTGGAGAAGCCCACAAGAGTCTCAGAATCTGACTTTCCTCCTCTCCAGTAACATGAGGTTGTGAAGCCAGTAGACGCCCCCTTTCCTTCGGGATCTTTGCACCCATAAAGCCATAGAACCTCGCTAAGTCAGCTGACACCCAGGCCCACTCCAGCCCAGGCTTCTCACTCACTTTGTCTCTCGAATGATTTATTTCACCCATGAGGTGCTTCTTGGTGGACAAAAGTAGAAACACAAAAAGCTCCAACTTTTCCTTGGTAAAGCACAGAATCTGTATGGTAATAAACATTCCGTGAGGGAGGCATGGTTAAGCAAAGCTATTTGTAAAGGGTCTTTTAGGAGCCCTAATGGCAAAAAGGATTGAGATAAATGGGTTTTGCCACTGAAGTGTGCAGATACTGTGAGAGGTACTGGGTAAAGGGAGTGGGCAGCTTCTCTCTAAGAGCTGATCCGGAGCACAACCACTTTCTCGTTTTGTTTCTTCCAAACTGTGTATCTTCTAAACCCTCCTTCAAGCCTGCTTTCAGGGGTTTGTATACATCTACATTTTCTGGTGGCCTTGGCTTATTTTTCATGGTTCTCTTCCCTCTAGCTATGGCATCGCTGGCTCTACCAATGTGACGGGCGATCAAGTCAAGAAGCTGGATGTCCTCTCTAATGATCTGGTCACGAACATGCTGAAGTCGTCCTTCTCCACCTGTGTTCTTGTGTCTGAAGAAGATAAACACGCCATTATCGTAGAACCAGAGAAAAGGGTGGGTCTGCACGTGGGCTGTGGGGAGTTTTCATGGAACCGTTTCCTTCTTAGCTGCATGCATGAGTTCACTTGTTTTCCCAGCCCAGATTCCTAGGAATCACATTAAATCCCTCCTGTTGTCTTTCTGCTGATTCTTCCTTACTTCCATATCTCAAATCTGTCCTCTAGCTCCATCGTTCCCGCAGTTATCATCTCTTTATGGACAGTGTTCCTAAATTTTCATTGCCAGGTTCAAGCTCACCTCAGTGGCTGCTCTTGGGCTACTTCCCCATCCACTGGACTCCCAGCTTCACACAGGACCCTGCTGCCGATTTAAGTCACATTTCTATCACCTTTTTCACGCGTTGGAACTTATCATATTGCCTATTGTTCTGCTTGCTTCAGATGACAGAGAACAAATGATGCTTATTTCCGTATCCCGCCTGGCACCCTACTTGGCACACACAGTGATGGCGAACCTATGCACAAGTGCTGTCATGGGCTGTTTGTATCACTAAAGATCCAAAAGGTTCACCATCACTGTGTGGGATCTTCACAAGAAAATGATTAGAATAAAAGAGTATATGCAGCTTTTATAAAACCATCACAATTAAAAGTAACTTCCAGAAATACAGTTGCATGGGCCTTTTCCCTGTTTGAGATGCAGGAGCGGGTGGAAGAGTAGATTTTGAAAGAAAACCAAAAGATATATTAAAGAGACTTCCTGCCTCGTGCTTAGTAAGAGTGTGGGAGCCTCATTTTATTAACTTGTTTTGCATCATTCCTAAAACAGCTAGCACTGCGCGCCAGGTGAAAAGTTATTCTTTTCTTGCTGGGCCGTTCATAGTCCCTGGCAATCTTAGGCACACGGAGTGAATTCAGCATTGAACGTTCATTGAAGGTCACCACAGAGCTCTCTAGTCCAGTAGGAATGTCTCCATTTTCCAGTTTACACTTCTTTTTGCATCACTGGCAAGGGGGATTTTTTTTTTTAAGAGCAGGAGGTCTGGGAATTATAATCAGGGCACAACGTTTTAAAACCACATTTAAAGAGATCAATTTAAAGATGGAAAATTTCTCTGGTATGTGAGATGGTAAACTGGCTCTCAAAAAAAAAAATCTGCTTTATAGTACTTACCCAATTCAATCATGTAAATACTCACAGAGCGCGTTTAAACCGCCAGTATGAGGGCACTGAGGGCAAAGTTAGATGCACACAGTAACTTGGGAGCCCATGCCAGGCAGCTCCAGCACACGGCTCGGAATCCCAGTGGAAGAACCAGTCTTCAGGGTCTCCCTGGGCAGAGCTTGCTTCCCATGTGGCTGAGAAGGCCGCACTACGGCCTCCTGTGGCACCTAGAAGAACTGCAGGAGGAGTTTTTACAGCTCTGAACTCTTAGCAAAGTCTTCGCTTTGCGGACAGAATTTTTTCCTCCTTACCAATTAAGAGAAACAGATGATTATCTGGGGTCCCTTTTTCCTTTGTTTGCCAGGAGTCAAATGAAAATTATGATTCAACTCGATAATGACTTAGGAAATTATGGTTTGTTGGTATTCTTTCACCTTCCTCTGTGCTTCCTAATCTACATGGTATTTTTCTGCCTAGGGATCTTTTAGCTTATTTATATTCTGATACCTTTTTGGTAGGTAGCCGGGAATCGAACTCAGGACCTCGCACTTGCCAAGCAGGTGCTACACCGCTGTATCCAGGCACCTATATTCTCGTATCTTATCTTCCCTAACCAAGTATAAACAGACTCACACTTCTTGAAGTTCCCTCTCCAGTCTCACTTTTACTACCTAGTGTTCTGTCCCCAACACCCGCATTACCGTATTTTAAAACTGTTTCTTTTTGCTCAGGGCAAATACGTGGTCTGTTTTGATCCCCTCGATGGCTCTTCCAACATCGACTGCCTTGTGTCCATTGGAACCATTTTTGGCATCTACAGAAAGGTAAAATGACTTCAAGCACCTGGTGTGAACCCAGAGAAAAGTTAAGGGGTAGGAGAGCCGGGCTTTTCATGATGTGGAGCCCCGGGGATGTGCAGTGTGAAACTCTGAGGCTCGAGCAGACCTGGCCGCCGAGGTCTGGCCTTTCCAGCATGACCTGTGAAATAATAAGACCCGGTAGGGAAACACGGGTGGAAATCCAAGGCTATGTCTTTCTTTTCACTGCATCTTCCCGCAGTTCATGATGGGGAAGAACTTTTTTTTTTAAACTATAGGACAATGATGTTACCTAAACAGAACTGTTAGAATATGGTGATGTTTGAGATTTATGCAAAATTGTCCTCTAAATCAGAGATCTACAACTGTGACAGTCTCCACCTTTCTCCTGTCATATCGAGCCACTACCTAATTTGTATGACCATTTTTCATTTTTACATGGTTGAAAAAATCTAAAGAATATTACATTGGGCCATGCAATTTATTTTTCACTGACTACAAATAATGTTTTACTGGCGAGTGGTCATACTCACCTGTCTACATGTTGGCACTGGCTGATTTTGTGCCACATTGTCTGGGGGGACAACAGAGACTGTGTGACCTAGGTAGCCCAAAGTGTTTGCTCTTTTTCCATTTGCACAAAAATCTGCCAACCCTGTTCTGTAGTAGCTTGGCATAACTGACGCCATCTTGAGCCCTGCATATAACTAGTGCCCTGTATTTGACTCAGGAGAATGGAAAATTACTCAGGGTATAAGTCCCATAAGAAAAGCAGAATGAGCTGTACCCACAGGAGAAAAATAAACCTGCTCAACAGAAGAAGCAGGATACAGGTGTCAATCGAAAATTAATGTAAGATTCTAGCTAAATTGTGATTTCTCTCTTTTAAAAACTCTGTAACTTTCCAGTTGTTTGGACTCTGAAACAGAGGGGGGGGGTGTATACAAGTGGTCCTGAGCTCAGTTAATTAAATTCCAAATTTATCAGTTTGGCTGCTTGGATTCCTATATTGTTTTTCCCGAACCCATCTCAGTTCTAGATCATAGAAAGTACTCTGGCGTAAGATGGGGACCCAGAGCCCCCTGCCCTTGTGTCTTGTCACTGTGTGACTTTGGCAGTTCCTCTACCTCCAGGAGCCTCTCCTTCTTCCAGAGAAAGAGATAGACAGGCAGACAGAGACAGACAGAGAAAGACAGACAGAGACAGAGAGAGAACACTCAGATACATGGACAAGGAAAAGTGGAAAGAATATCCGTAGAGCTACCATAAAATCTAAAATAGGCCCTCCTGGTTTCAGCTCCTGTTTATTGTCTGCAGTTCTGGGCACTGAACCCAAGGCCTCCTGTACACTGGGCGAATGCCCAGCCGCACAGCCAGCCACCACCCCCGCTCTTGGCTTAGTGAGGAATAAAGGCTTGGATGCCATGGTTTGCCCAGCTGAACTTTATGCTAGGTTGCATCAAGAAGGAAGAACCAAATGCACACTTTATTTCTAAAAGGGACTTATTGCCTACTATTGTGTGTAATTTCCTTTCCAACATGGCGGGTAGAACCACCCAAAATGAGCGGGTTATCATCAGTCACAGGAACATATTTTTGCTTTTGTCATGGGTGACAGGCAGATATACATCAAAATCAGTTTCAGTAATAAAGGATCCCAATTCCTATTATCAAATAGGCAAATGAAAGAATTTACTTCCTTTCCAAATAATGCCAGGGAGCGTACCATTGCTGTGATAGAGGTGGAGAGATGTCATCTTTCCTGCCAAGTTTCAAATCTGTAGAGCAGCAAGAGAGCCCCGTGCACAGGTCCTCCCCCAGAGGAAGCCCTCTGGGAAATGACGGCCAGAGCCAAAGCAGTGCTGACGGCAGCCAGCGCCATGATCACTTCAGTCCCGAAAATGAAATGCTTTTAAGGGGGAAAAATATACCTAGAAAATTGAGACACATTGACTGTCAGCTAAAAACCAAAATCAGACCAACTCACAACAGTAGCTTGGACCATGCAACCTGGAAGACTCAACAATCAGACCCCATAGTCTTCTCAACCAACCTGAAGTAAGTCTCCTAATAGATGGAAAGAGATGATGAGTGTGACGTGGGCATCATGTCATTTTGGTTTGTTTTTTTGTACCAGGAATTGAACTCAGGACCTTGCGCATGCCAGGCAGGTGCCTGTGCTACTGATCATTTTGGTTTTGAAAGCCTTGTGGGTGATTTGGAATCCACTGGGACAGCTGGGACCATTTTAGGACTCCTGGGGCAAGCACTTTGGTGTGTCTGATGTTTCCAAAGAGACCTTTGAAAATATTCGGTCACCACAACTAAAAGCAGAGGTTTGGGAGGGTCTGGTTGCCCTGATGAGGAAAGATTCTTGGTCACATCTCCCCATCCAGCTCTGCCTGCCTTCCTTCTCTGTCACCTCAAGCCTCCAGAATCCATGGTGTCTTCCCCTGTACTCCTCGTTGGCAATGTAGAATGAAACCTAACCCCAGCAAGTGGTGGGCACAGCTAGGTGGATAAAGGTGGGAACCAGAGTCTTTCTAGTTTTACAAGGGCTTTTTCCCATTGATCCCAGGGCATCTGCAAGAGGGTGGAAGAGATTCCTGGGAGGATTCATTGCTCGAGGTTTGGGGGAGGAAATGCATGCTGTAGAAAGGGGGGTGGGCTAAAAAAGAATTCCTCCCCAAATCTAGGATTTGATATAGTTATTTCCTCTTTCTTTTGAGTATGTGAGTGTCATAGATGAGTGCCGAGTTCCTTACTCCATGCAAGGATATAGAAGTGGAATGGTGTTTGGTGACAGTGTTTCCATTTATTTCTCTGCCTTTGCCACAGACAGGCATGGATAGCTCTGAACAAGGCACATCTGTGGGGGATTGTACTTGCTGGAGATCTGGTTCCTCAGAGCCTCAGTGAGGGGAGAGGATACCTCTGGGTCCTCTCAATATGTGACTGGCTTTGGTCCATATTGACAAAGGCTACTGACTTCTTTTTTTTCAAAGCTTGCAATTTAGGGAAAACAACTTAGTTTTGGGATCCTGTGTGTAGTCACTGTAGCTACTCTGCGCTGCCTGGTATACACAACCAAACCAAATGGAATAATCCAATTTGTCCAATTAACCAGTTAATCACTCAGATGAAAACCATAAGGAGTAGGGGGTGATGGGAAAAATGGAGAGAAAAACTGTTTATTCTTCCTCATAGATGAGTGCAAGCGCCCCCTCTGATGCCCGATACCATGCACCCTCCAGGGGCCGTGGTGGAGAGTTGGGTTTAGGAAGTGTAGGCTGCAGCCGCCTTGCTGGCAGTGTCTCTGGTAAGGCCGATGGTGCTCTGGGAGTCACATTTTCAAAAGCTGCAGAAAGAAATCGTCTGGAATGTTGTTGCTGAGTGACCTCCCTCTCCCACTTCAGGGTACAGATACTGCTGGCTTCTGGAATCTCTGACTACCAAAGGAATGGAGGAAACTGGGGGGAAACTGATCACCTTGGTTTAAAACCAAGCAGGGAGTATCCAGACTGCAGGATGCATTGGGAGCCATTCTGAAGAGTGAAGAAGCCAATCGTGTGTTAATAAAGATCACTATTAATAAAAAATCATGGACTAGGAGCCAGCCCCTTAAGGGGTTTCCTTTGCTGATGACTCAGGGGATTTTTCAATTTAAAAACACTAGAGCACTTGCTAAGCATAGGTGCTGTCTTGTGACATCTCAGGGCGTGCGTGCATATGGAACACTGCTGGTGTGTAAGCAAGTAGATGGTTCCTTTAAGTCGGCACAATGCCATGTATCATCTCTTTTAGGTGTGAACAGTCAAAATCCTTTTCCTAGATTTTTTTAAATATGCAGTATTTCAGATCACCATTCTGTGTCTAACCCACTGTGCAAGAGGGCACCATAACATACTTTCTATCTAAGAATAAAAGTCCTCATCACCTTCCCCATCCCTCCCTCCCCCGTACCCCCCCTTCTCGTAAGCACCATCCTACTTTCCACTTACGGGTCACAGTGAAAAAAAAGAAAGAAAACAAATCAGACAGCGTCTGCTATACCCTGTAATGACCCTTGGGAAGTATACCAAATGCCCACATTTCTGAGAATTTCTTTAACAAGAGAGGGCTATGACGGCCCTGCTCAGTGGGGTATGTGCTGTGATTGGCAAGAACTCAGGGAATTGATTTCCTCACCAGACTCACTGCCTACAGCCCGTGTTAATTTGTTTAAATAAAGATGGAGTGGGCAGGTGAAAGACATTGATGCCCATAATCAGATTAAATTAGTGAGAACTGGCAAGAAGGCAGGCTGTTTTTTGGAAGTGATAATGGAAAGAGGAGGGAATATCAAATTAGAAAAATAGGAAAAGGGCCCTGATTGGAAAGGAGGATCCAGATGCAGGAAATTCAGGGTCTGGTGGGAAGGCTGCTGTGATAATAGAATCAAGATGCTCCCTACGTGGGGGGAGCCCCCTGGGAAGATGCCCTATTTCATTACAATGCACCTTGATCGTGCATTCTGCTCATGGCTAGTGGAAAACAGCCACCAAACAAAACTTTCTCTCTCTCTCTCTCTTGTTTGCTCTAGCAATCTACTGATGAGCCTTCCGAGAAGGACGCCCTGCAGCCAGGCAGGAACCTGGTGGCAGCTGGCTATGCCCTCTATGGCAGCGCCACCATGTTGGTTCTGGCCACAGAGACTGGTGTCAACTGCTTCATGCTGGACCCGGTGAGCACTCTTGCAGGAGGTCGGTGTGTGGCCGGCTCTGTGTGTGTGTGTGTGTGTGTGTGTGTGTATGTGTGTGTGTGTGTGTGTGTGTGTCCAGAAGTAGGCTGAGGTAGGAAATGAGGTCCATGGAGAGACCAAGGTAGGGTAGGAAGAGGAGGAGTGAGCAGTGATGCTGTCCAGAGTAACAAGAATTCTTGTTCCACAGATAAGTTCTTTAAAACACGCATTATTCCCAAAGGCTCCAGGGCCCATGGGTGCTGGCAGGGCTGGTGAGCCACAGGAGTCCGGCAACTTTTCCTACTTGGGAATAGAAGCTCAATCTTGCAAGGGCTTCCCATGTTCTAAGAAACGCTAAGTTAAAGCACAAACAGTGTTTTTGAGCCGACTCACATTTGTGGACCCAGGGCCCTGCAGTAGGTCTGTCTGCCCCATGCTGGCTCCAATCCGAGCCTTTCTGCCTCGGGTTTCCCTGATGGGGATGGGCTCCTCAGGTGGAGCAGTGAACACCAACGTTTCTTCAAAACTATCTCCCAAGTGGGCTCTGTGTGTACGCGTGCGAACCTGCAGTTAACCCTTGCAGTTTATATAAGCCTTTGATAAACTCAAAGGGAATGGAAAATAATGGAGAGAATGAGGGAAACCCTCCAGCGTACCTTACAGAGTAAAGGACCTCGCAGAGAGAGAAGCCAGTTTGCCATTAAAAGAGGCTCGTGGACAGTTTTTTCACAGGTTCACTAATCTGTCCACTATTTATTTTATTTAGTCAGTTTAGATGAATGTTTCAATAGGATAGATAAGTTAGGGGAGCAAATCTCTTTAAATATTTGGCACAACTAAACCCACCACTGAAACACGTCCTCAAAACAATAATCGTTAAAGTACTGGTACATTCTTTATGCAGATAGTCCACAGTGCCAAGAGGGAAAGAATTGGATTTATAAATTCCTTTTAACTGTATCAATCCCTTCATAGGACGCTCATGAAACACTTTATGCAGTGGTTTGGGGTATATTTGAAGAGAACACCAGGTACAAACTGCAACCTGGAAACCTCCATAAGGGGCAGGTTGTCGGGGAGCTCACGGGGCAGTGTGCATGGCACCAGGCAGGTGGTGAAAATGAGCACACAGGCTGCATTTGACTCGGGCACTTCGTGGAGCCGGACTTTCACCTCCTTGGAAACATGAGCACTTCAGTAAATAAAGGCAGGGTAACGGCGCCAGTTAAAATCTCTGAATGAGGTCACTTCAGAGGGAAACAGCAGCACAACCAGAGCAAAGTTCAGTGCGAGCCCAGAACCCGGCTTCTGAAGTCAGGGCTGTGTCTCTCCCCTGGCCAGACCCCAGCAGCCTCGCCAGGCAATCTTCCTCTGTGCCTCTGAATCAATAGATCTGTAGACAAAGAATCGAAGCTCTCCTTGTTTCCAAGAAGAGATTGCATATGGGTGTCTCCAAGAGCAAGTTTCTGTCTCCTGCTACTTCTTTCTGGCTAGCTCCAAGCACAGGTGATAGTTTCCGCTAAAACCACGACAGCCACGTGTGTGTCTCCAGCAGGGCTTTGCCTGAACCACGGCTTTGTGTCTCTTGTCGCCATCAGGGGGGCACCCCTCCTCCACGCTGTAACTCTAAGCCAGGCTCTAGGACAGGTTGCCTGCCACACAGCTCCTGAGCTCTGCACACAGCACCTGGTGTCTTTGTGAAGGCATCTGTTTCGTTTTGCTGATTTTAAAAGACCGCTCTCATGTATTTATTGCCAACATTTTTGGGAATACAGAAAAAGAAGCATAAGGTGAAAACGAATCACAATGACGCCTCTCAGTGACCACTGTTAATTCTAGTTTCTTCTCTATCCCCCGCCCCGCCCTGCCTGTCTTTCTATTTTCCACATACTCCATGTCTTTAATAACCAGTCTACATCTAATTTCACTTCACCCTTGTGGGAAATAAAGTGTCTGGTCCTCTCTTCTTAACTCCTACCTCCATAGAGCACCCTCTTCCCCCAAGGAGCAGAGCCTCAATCTGCAAAGAAATCTCCCTTAAAATACTAAAACCCCAAAGGCATAAGTGCCGAGCTGTGGGGGAGACCGTATTCTGAGACAAACTTTGCACATCAGTAAGGCAAGGAGTCTAAAGTGCTCAAGCTCAAAACTCAGGGTTCCATATCATGAACACAGGAAACATGCAAAAGGGACAGTTTCAGTGAGATACAGCTGTAAAGTCAGCTAGAGGACCTGATTCTACGGTCACACTCTCCCCACAGCCCACCCCCCAAGTGCACCAGGCTGCGTGTGTGTAAACACAGGCGTATCTTCTATTGCTTTCCACACAATTGTTATTCTTTCTTTGCTTTTTGCCGTGACTTCAGGCACTTCCAGCCTTTCTAAGTCTTATCGTTTCTTTCTTGTTTGCTGAGGTCATTTTCAAACTAAGTCAAAAGTCTCCTGTACCAGTCTGTTGACTTCCGCTTTCTCCCTCCTCCTCCTCCTAAATTTCCTTCATACTCTTTCTCACCCCTTTCTTCCCACACACTGTTCACAATTCTTGGGGTGTTTGGCAGGAGTTCTGGTGTCCCAGGATGTCCCAGGATGTGACCCCAGCCCTCCCATCTCCCAGATCAGCCCAGCCTGATCCACCCATTGTCAACCTTGTATCTTTCTTTCCTTATTTCAAAGGCCATCGGGGAGTTCATTTTGGTGGACAGGAATGTGAAGATCAAAAAGAAAGGTAACATCTACAGCCTCAACGAAGGCTACGCCAAGGACTTTGATCCTGCTGTCACTGAGTACATCCAGAGGAAGAAGTTTCCTCCAGTAAGTGAGGGGACAGGATGGGGCTGGGGCAATGTCAGGGCCCAGGCATTTGGCACCAGGAGCGGTTCCGGGGAATGGGTGTCCCCAGAGGAAAAAAGGGATTGAGAAGGGTACTGGACTTCATGTGGGACTTGTGTCATGTATCTGTTGAGCATGATGGATCCCAGAGATGAAAGAAGGCAGAGGTAGAGGGGAACTGGATTTCCATCTACCCTGAGCCTGTGATTAATGTCCAAATGGTAGTGTTATTTCAGTCTTCACCATTTTCTCTTGGCAAAAGAAAATTAGGATAATAGAGGTAACCAGATGGATGAGTTCCTGGCAATAGAACATTTCCACTGTCGGGGTCCTTGATCCTGGACCAAATGGGTTCTCCCACCCCGGCACCTGCCATGTGGTACCTGTCCCTCCAGGCTACCTCGGTGATGAATTTCTATCACTTGTCTCAAAGTGGAGAGTGTCCTTTTCTGTATCTCTCTAAAGAGATTACAAGTTCAGGAATACAAAGAATATTGGCACAGCAGCCTCTGTGGGGGAGTATCTAATTTCACTACACCCTTGCTTAAAGGCTGTCTTGTTGATGGCTGCTATTTTCTGAGGGTGAAACCCACATGTTGCTAGCATGGCATCCAGGGCCCTCAGAACTGGCCCCAGAGTTGCTCACCAGCTAAACTGCTTGTCCTTTCTCTTTGCCCTTATTGCCCTCCCGTACCCAACCACTGCACTCATGCCTTCCCGGAGGCCCCATGTCAACAAACTGGCCTTTCTGTGTGGCTACGTCTTTCCTTGGGCAGATTCCTCTTCACCCCTTCCCAGCTCCTTAGTTTGCCAAAATCCTTTCTCCACCTTCAAGGTCCTGCTATTACAATTGGGGGACTGGGGCTAGTTCCATGGATCAAACTCATGACCTCACGCATGCCAGGCAGGCACTTGTGACGCTGAGCTAAATCCCCGGCCCCAGTATTACAATTTTTGTGATGCCTGCTCCGACCCTCTTGGGAGCCTCTCTATTTCCCAAGGGTATTTTCCTTACATTTCTTGTTACATTCCAAACACACACCTTATAGGTGCTCAACGAATGATGTGGGATCAAATAAGCATAAGGCATGAAAAGAATGTCCTTTATTTTCTGCAAGCCTCACAACGTTGTAATCCTGCAGGATAATTCAGCTCCCTACGGGGCTCGGTACGTGGGCTCCATGGTGGCTGACGTACACCGCACCCTGGTCTATGGAGGGATCTTTTTATACCCTGCTAACAAGAAAAGCCCCAGTGGGAAGGTAAGCACGTGCCTGGAAAAGTGACTGAGAAGGGGTGGATTTCATTTTCAGCCTGGGGAATTTGAGTTCATTGGGAAGAAAAAGGGTTATGACAGCTGTTATGCATTCCAGTTGGTTTCTTGGGATGCCTGTGGCATATTCTTTTCTGGGTTCAAGATAAAGCCAGATGATATCAACTAAACATGAAAATGTTCTCTTGAGACCCTTCCAGTGCTATGGCAAAGGAGAATTAATGGAGTTATGGTCAGGAGCAGACTAAAAGCGCTTAGTGCTTCCACTGGGTATATGGTTTGACCTGGACAAAATGAATTCCATTCCTAAATAGTCTGGTCTCATTACCAAGACAGCAAATCAAACATGTGTTGTAAAGAGAGATCTTCTTTGATTGCTTTCAAAAGGCATAAAAGAAATAACTAATGGGCCTGACATTTGCTACTTGGAAAATGATACCTTTTAGGGAGGGAAAGAATCCTGGAGAAACCTGGAGCTTTCAGGTAAGCTGTTCCCAGTGACTGCTGCTCGAACAGCGGTGGTGTCCCCAGCAAGCCAAAGGGTGGACTGTGCTTTCTTATGCTGGCTAAGGGACATCTTTTTCTTCTATGCAAGCATTGGGTACTTCTTTTCTAAGCATTATGTCTGCTTTATTTTTGCAATGGACAGATTGCCCTTTGGGGGGGTGTTATTTTTTAGATAGGGTCTCATTATGTAGCCCAGGCTTGCCTTGAACTCACAGTGATCCTCCTGCCTCAGCCTCCCCAGTGCTGAGATTACACTGGGCTTCTAGTTTCATCATTCTTAGTAACTTTTTCATCACTGGGACAAAATATTCAACACTCACAACTTAAAGGAGGAAAGGTTTATTTCAGCCCCCAGGTTGTAGAACCACAGTCAGTTGGCACCAAGGCAGGGTGGCATGGCAGAAGGGCATTGCAGAGGGGAAGCAGTTCATGGGGTGGCAGGCAGGAAGCAGCATCTTCTTCCTTCTTTCCCTTTTTAGTCCACCTGGGCTGTAAGCCTATTGGCTGATGCTGCCCACACCCAGGGTGGGTCTTCCCTCCTCAGTAAACCCATCACCCATACCCACACCCACAACTGTGCTAAACCAGTCACTCCCTCGGCCCCTCCTGTAAGCCCACGAGGCTCTGGGGGATGTGTAGGTATAAGCTGTAACAGCAAGAGAAGGAATAGGACAAGAATCCCCTTATGACGGAGACTGATGTATTGTGGACGTACAGAGTCCAGCAGCCTCCTCATGCGTCTCACCTATATGATGAGCCCGCTTTATAGCACTTTTCTTGAGTGTGTCAAAAAATTGTACCTTAACACAAATGTTGAAGCACCTCCTATTTTTTTTCTACTGGTTTTTCCAGTCTGGCGTGGACACTATAAGGAAATAGAGCCAGGAAGCACCTGCACGGAGCCGTCTGCTCAGGAGGCAGACGGCATGAAAATGCCTATGACAAAAAGTTAATATTTAAAAGCAAATGCCAAGAAGTATAATATACGAAATCCCAAGCCCAGAGCCTTAGGAGAATTGTAAAAGGAATGCACAGAGCTGCAAACAATATTACACTGTTTGGAGGAGCCAGCCTGCTTTCCAGATGTCTGCAGCCAGACAGTACTATGGATTTTTTTAAACACTTTTAGAATAGGCAAAGCTCCATCCAAAACACATACAGAGTCACTCATTAGGTCCAATTTCTGTGCTATAAAGAGAAGGGAGCTGTCAGTACTGCCAACATGTCATTCTGTCCTGGATCCAGGTGATCTGACTCATATTCGCATCAGGTAATCTATTGCTGGCTCTGGCTTGGTGAAAGGTTTTCATTTAACCAAATGGTTAATCATTTAATGCAACCCGGGGTGGGAGAGGGAACTTCTACAAACTCCTTGAAGGAAAAAGAGGTCAGTTACTTGGAAATCCCCCCGCCCCTAGCTCGGCAGGATTTAGCATAAAACAAGACCCCGCTTTGTCACACCTTCTCATTTGAGGATGCTCATCTCCGGCCTTGTCTTCCAGCTGAGACTGCTGTATGAATGTAACCCCATGGCCTTCGTCATGGAGAAGGCAGGGGGATTGGCCACCACGGGCAAGGAAGCTGTGTTAGACATTGTTCCCACGGATATCCACCAGCGAGCGCCAGTCATCCTGGGGTCCCCCGATGACGTGAAGGAGTTCCTGGAGATATACAAGAAGCACGCTGCCAAATGAAGACCTGGGCCTGCCCTCACCCCAGAGAGCCGCTCCCACACCGCTACCCCATTCTGACTGTGCAGTCTCATGCCTAGCCAGGAGACATAAAATGCACGGATGTTTTCACCACCTAGTGCTCTGTAGTTCCTGGTGCTACTTAACCTGAATGTTATCTCAACAATATCACTGGAGGGAAAGATCTATTTTGAGCAGAAGGAGGAGAAATAAACACAGTATTCCTTTTTAAAAAAAAGTATTCATTGTTTGCATCAAATAACAGTGATGATAACAATTCATCATTATCTTCACAACAATCTTGTGAAGTGAGTACTCTCTGTAATCTATTTTAAAGGGAATGAAACAAAGAACTGAGAGTTGAAGAAATCTACCCAAGGACTCCAGCCAATGAACGGCAGAGATGGGGTCTGAATCCGGGCATTCTGGCCCCTGAACTCTGACTTAATGTATCGCTTCCTCCGCATGTGTTCCCCTCAGATAATAAGGCTGTGCCTGCCCCCCACCAGGGGTGGAAGTGGTTACTTCATTAGTGGTGATAGCTGTGTATGGCTCGGGCTCCCAACCATAGCTGGAGCCATGTGAGTCACCACTGAGAGTTCATATTACTACTGGATGGTAATTTTTCTAAAAGCACAGAACAGGGTTGAACTAATAAAGCCTAATGCCCTAAGGTCTCATTACCATAAGGAAAATGATTCATTGTAAGAAATCAGATTTAAGGAAACACAGTGTGTGGTAACAAGGTATCTTCCTCACTAAGTTCCCTCCATAAACACTTTATTTCTTAGCTAAGTTTGGTCCTTTCTAGACCAGAAGGTCAAGATGATGGCAAGTTTTATCAGGTGTTAAAGTAATACCTGTGGCCTTTTGAGAGCTCTAGATTTAAAAATGTGTGTGAACAAAATACACACCTTCTCTTTTGAACCTAAAACAGGTGTCTGTGTAAATCCTGCTCCTTTCTCCCAAAACACCCGCCATGAATTCTGCATTGTTCCAACAGGAAACTTAGCTGAATCCTGAGTGCTGGGTTTGCTTTTGTTGCCCAGCTGGCACCATATCTCAGCATTTCCCCACCCAACTCACCTTCCCAGGAAAACCCCTACTCACAAAACTCTTTTGATTTTTAACCTTCATGGCTAAGGTAGTTTCTGATTCCCAAAGCATGAAAGGAGATGCTACCCAGCCTGCGAGGCTCTTGAGGTCCCTAGAGGAGAAGGGCTGCTAGGATGAGAAAATGAACAGTCAAAGCTGGAGTCAGGTGGAGCCCTCTAGCTCCAGATGGGAGGAAAGGAACTGTCCCCTCACTGTAGGGGCATTTATTTATACACTTTGCAAATTAAGGTCATGTGCACCACTTATCCTAGCAACCCACTGTTCAGATTGTCTTGGGGCTAGGTGCTCTTTGTTTTCAAGGCAGCCAAGGCGCAGCCCTGCATCTGTGATCATTTCTAACTCCAGCAGTTCCCTATGAGGTGCATTATCTGGGAGCCTCTTCCTATGGTTGAGACAAACACAAGGTAGGAATAATACACTCCCAAACAGTTTGTTTGGGCAGTGATCAAACAAGCAAAATAACAAAAGCCACCACTTTTGTTTGTACGATCCCCATGATGTCTTTTGGCTGAGATATGAGCTCATTTAATGCAAGCTCTCAGTTGATGTTTATTTTCATGCTACTGTGGATTCATCCAAGTCCCCTCTGTTGGCTGCCTGAGAAGAAAAATCACAGATCTACAAAAACAGCAGCCACTGATTCGCTCTGATGACTCTAAGACTCTCAAAGTTGGATTTGACGTTGGAGATTCTTAGATGCTGCCCTTGGACAAAGGAGGGTGAAAGGATCCCACCAATCAAGTATCATGTAGGGATGCATAGAAACTCAGGCTCCCCTGTCATGCTGGAGAACTTTTCTACCAATCAAACATATAATGTTCCTTCAGCAAAGGAAAACCTCCCCTTCCAACCACATGCATAACTGACTGCCTGCGAATTTCTATTGACTGTCTCAATATCAGTAATTTGTAAAGAGACCCCACTGTTCCCCTTTCTCACCCACAGATCTGAGTTTTGCTGGTAGAGCTGCCATGGGTATACCACTCACCTTCCCAAGGCCACACATGGCCTTAAGCCTAAACTCTAAGCTAAACTTAAGGCAAGGTAGCAAAGGCACTTCTCCACAATAGTACACTTGTGTTCTTCACCAAAGCTAAGAGACACCCTTCTGGCTTGGCTTGGAGCCACCATGGGCAGGTTAGACACAGCTTATGCCTCAAGGATTTGATGAACCGACATCCAGACTAGGATGGAATGGGAAAGCTTGAGCACCATTAGTTCCCAAAGCCCCCAGCATGACTGTGGTTCAACTCCAGAATGGGAATAATTTCAAAATGTTTGTGGGGGGTTAAATGATACCCCCACCCACCCACCCAAAGACATGCCCATGTCCAAATCTCTGGGACTTGTGAATGTGACCTTATTCTTTGCAGATATAATTAAATTAAGAATTTTGAGATGAGGCCGTCCTAGATTATTATGTGGCTCTTAAATTCAAGAAGTGACTTCAAAAGAGACACACAGAAGAGAAAGCAATATAAAGATGAAGGCAGAGATTGGAGTGATACAGCCACAAGCCAAGGCAACTGAGGGATGCTACCTGGCACTAGAAAAGGTAAAAATATATCTTGCTCTAGGGCCTCCAGAGGGCACATGCCTCGTGGCCTCCTTGATCTGGGTTTTAGTTTCCAGAATGGTTTGAGAATATATTGCCATTGTTTTAAACCACCTGGTTGGCAGCAGCTCTAGGAAACATCTTCTAGTCATGTATTTCAAGGGCTACAATTCAGGGGCTTCCATGCAACAACCAGCAGACACTCTTCCTTTGCACAGTCATTCCCACCAAACAAGTGCTGTCATGCACAGGCTTCTGACTGCAGCCTGCAGGAGTCTGAAGGATGAAGCTCACATTGGCTCTGCTCTTTTGGTTTCCCTGAAGTACTGGAATGTCAGGGCTCCCCGTGATCTCACGAGCTAGCGGGAGGCAGGGTGCTGATAAAGCAGGACACAAGACTGCTGGGAGTCCCCGAGAGCTGCAGGAGAGCAGCTGGCCACAGCGGCTAATGGAGACGGTTTACGCGGCAGCTGGGGTAACCTGAGCCCAAGGCTTTCCTTCTGCCCTTTATCAGCCGTGTGAGCTGCTGGAGAGAAGTCACATGCTCACCAAATCATCTCTTCCTGGACCTCCTCGAAGACTACTTGTTCCAGCCACCCTTGCGTGTAGGTGGGGGCCACTGAGGTGGATATGGAGATGCCACACCCCGCTTCTAGGTTGACCGTCAATCCATAGCAGACTTTCCTGTTCCTCCCCTTCCTTGCCATCTCCAAAGCTGTGCGTTCTAATGACAATGCGAAAACACAGAAGCAGCCTGGATGCCTGAGCCGCCAAGCTATAATGTGAAAGTGAAATCAAACTTTGTTCGACTAAGCTCCTGGGGGCTTGGGACTCGTTACTATGGTAACACATTCCCAGGCCGAGGGATGAAGCTTGAGCCTGCTGAAAATTCCATCTTTTGAAAATTTTTAATTGTAATAACATAATGTTGTTGATCATAATATCTGTGGTGGTCAAGGCCATTTTCACTGTGAGAAACAAAGCCCCATTCATTCTGGCTAAATCAGCAAGGTGATTTGCTGGAGCAGGGCAAGGAGATCCCAAGAAACCCAGTATTCACTGCTTCCTATCCCACAGGACCCATCCCCCTCGGTTCTGCTGCTGTCATCTAATTCCCTGGGGTCTCTGTCTCTCTCCCACCCCTAAGTTCTTGGGGAAAAAATTCCAACTGGTTCAGCTGTGTCAAGCATATGCCTTTGCCCAATCAGTAACAGCCAGAGACCAGAGGCACAGAACATAAATGTGGCCTTGCGTTTTCCTCTTGTAAACAGGGTGTCTTTTTCTCTGAGATCGGATCACAGACTGAGCAGGCACCCTGGGATGTCAGCACGAGGGCTGAGGTCCTCAAAGGAGCATGCGTTGGGAGGATGCACAGAAAGCACATTAGTGTTTTCCCCACAAAGAATGGTGGCCCTGTGACACTGTAGATTTCCATCTCTAGACCTCTAAGAGCAAGGCTTTCTTTATTGTTCAGGGATTCATGGGTCCTGATCCATTTTGTCCCAGATCTGTAAGCATCTTTCATCAAGTCAGCTCCTAAATAGCTTCGCAGTCACCGATGTGTTAATGTCACCACAGTAGCTGAGGGGAGCTGTTCTCCCTTCCTCCGGGCTGTCACCATGGCTGCTCTATGAGTTTCCACTTTGATCTGGGCCTTGAAGGAACTCTGGCATTTGCTGAAAGGTCAGCAGCTGCAATTTCGGGCCATGTGAGTAACTTGAACTTCTAACATTTAAATGTAACTTCAAAAGCTTGTGACCATTACTGAGCCCGGCGTCTGCCGTGCTGGGTGGTGATGGGACAGGTCTCTCAGGCCCCTTTCCGGAGCAGTCTGACTGCTTATCCATGACCTTAGCCAATACTTCTCCCTCCGGACCTGAAAATGACCTGGGTGTCTTGCTCTTGGCACCCCCAGAGTGGTTGGCAGCCAGGGACCCCCAGCTCTTTGGTTTGCCTTTCTGTCTCCTTATAAATCTGTCGGGAACAGCTAGCTATGTTAATAAAATGCAAGAAAAAAGAAGCCTGAGATGACCATGAATGTGAAAATACACTCAGTACTGTATCTGGAATAATTAGAGGAATTATGTCAGCCACAGAGAAACCCATTTGACACCCATAAGGATGGCTGCTGGAAGAAAAAAAGAACAGCCATTGGCAGGAATTTGTAACACTGAGATCTTTGTTCACTACTGGCAGGAATGTAAAATGGTACAGAATGGTGTGGAAAATGATGTAGCTGCTCCTAGAGAAATTAAACAGAATCACCATTCACGCCAGCGATTCAGCTTCCAGGTGCATGTACCTCCAAGAACCACAGGCAGGGACTCAAACAGATGGTGACGTTTAACCGCTTATTCAAAACAGCCAGAAAGAAGCAGCAACACAAGTGTCCACTGCCAGGTGAACGGATGGACAAACAGAGTGTGAGGCTTAAAGAGAGGAGAAATACTGACAGAGGCTGCTCACAGATGACCACCGGAGATACTCTGTTCAGCAACATAAGGGAATCACAGAAGAACAAATAATCTATGATCCCACCCGTGTGAAGGGCCCTAAATGGCCAAGTC